GAAAGAAAAGGCAACATATTAGATTTGCCTCATTTAACTATACTTTAAAATGTATGTATTAAGTTGTAATACTTCCAAAAAATAATTTAGAATATTTGTTATGAAAAAAAATAGTTCTAGGTATACAACAACATTCAAATTGCTTTGAGAGTATTTTATTTTTGGACCTTCTTATGTTTTTGCAAAAATGGCGAATGCACCGGGATTACTAGTTTTTGTCAATTACTTATCTTAATTTTTCATTCTCAACGATTGTCAAATAAGTGGTCTAAAAAGTGCTGGTATTCTTGGCAAAGAAATAATTGGACCGCTTTTTCTCAAAGTTAACTTGACTGGACAATTATATCTTGATCTTCTTAAAAATGTAGATAGACCCACTTATTACACAGTCGTTAGAAAATCAGATTGGAGGACATTTGTACTTTCAACAATATGGAACTCCTTCTCACTATGCTTTACCAGTCAGAGAATAGTTGAACCAAAAGTTTTCGAAAAAAAATATTGGTAGAAGAGGTGCTCAAGAATAACCGGCAAGATCTACGAATTTAACGCCACTTGATTTTTTTCTTTAGGATAATTTAAAAACAAGTCTACAAAACACCACCTGAGAACATTCAAGAACTTTAAACGAAGAATAATTCAAGAATGTAGTCAAATAACTCCTGAAATACTTAAGGGTAGCTAAAGGTGAGAGGATGCAAAATAATAGTTATTTACGATATAAGTGGGATAAGAGCTTTATTAACGTACGCATGCGAAATTTGCCCAACGAGTGCGTAGCAAAAGTACGTTAATAAAGCGTTATCACACGTATATTGTACAAATTTTTATCTACGCCTCTAAATGAAAAAATAAACGGTAATTATTTTTGTCTAAGACTTAATTTAGGGTTATTTTGACATTTTGACATTTTGACTTTTTTATTTGATTGGTTAAAAGCAGAGAAAAACGCGTGCGTTAATGAACTTCTTATCTCACTCAAAATGAGTGGGATAAGAAATTCTTATCTCACTGGCGTAGATAAAATTTATTTAATACTGGATTTTTACTCCCCCTCGATATCTAAATGGACCTGTTTTTGCTCAAGATCATACTTAGTAATTTTTAATTGAAAGCCATGTGTATAAACCTTTTCATAATTACTCCCATAAATAATAAGTTCTTGGAAGGCCTTTATAGCAGTAATTCTTAGTTAATATATTATAATTGTGGTATACCTGGAAGATAAGGAATAGGCTTAGCCCACAGGGGCATTTCCTATCATTAATGCCGTTTTAATTACACATCGAATTTGTCAGTGTACTTTTAATTAAATTCTAGGGCGTAACTGTGCCTGTGTATGTGTTTATTTTAAAGCAAATCTGATTAATTGTCGGCAATATTAAAGTTTCGCTCAAAAGGAAAATTAATCCAGATGTAGTGGTAGTGGCAAGGCTAAAATTGCAATTCAAGCAAGAATTTAATTGCACTGCGGAAAGAGAGAGATAGAGAAGAAAGAAAAAGCTGCCGGAGCAATTTCCTCGGGGAGAAATTAAAATTTCTTGTGCATTAATTTCCCGACTAACAGTGTCAGAATATTTCTGGTGGTTTCGTTTTAGTGGCGAATTATTACTAATCATTTCGGCGGGATACAAAGAGAGGATTTTCTTTTGTCGGGCTTGATTACAAAACTGCAGTTCCTCTGTTTATATTGTTAAGTGTTTTCGTGTTTTCTTGTCTTAAAAGTTATTATAAAATTGCCTAATAATAAAACTGACATAAAATATAAATTTTTCTAAAATATACATATATGTACTATAGTAAAAGGACCTTATTTTTACAAACCTTTTTGTAGACCCAGTAAGAAAAGTATTTTTTGGAAATTTGGAACTTAAAAAAAAGAATTTTGATAAGAAATGTTGCTTTATTAAAAAATTTTCTAAACAAAAAAAATAACGCATACCTACCTACATAAATGAATCACAAAAAGAACATATATGTTATACAAACAATTATATCACACCATTCTAAATTCATTAAATTATAAAGAAATTTAGTAAAATATATCACAGTGCAACAGCAAAAAAAATGATGGGGTTCTGAAAGTGGTTTTCGTTTCTCCTATCCAAAGAATGCCTTTTTGCGTTTACAGAATGTTCAGGTTTTTTTAAATATCGATTGTATGTTTTATTAATTTTGGAACCCGAAAAAACGTTATTTATTAATTTAAACCAATTAACTGGTAGGAAATTGTTGTCATAACAAGAAATTAAAAAGAAATAATAAAAAAGAAAACAAAAATTAAAAAAGGGGTGTCACTAAAAGTACATTTGCTCCATGCACATCTTGACCTGTTCGAAAATCAGCTGTCCACCGAATCAGAAGAGCATCAAACAATAATGGAAATGGAAAATCGTTATAGAGGAAAGAGGTTTGATTCGATGTTGGCAGATGTTTGTTGGTCTATGGCAATGGAAATTTTGGTATAAAATTATAAATAAAATTTGTTATATCTTTTATGTTAATTCATTCTATTTGTTAAAAAGAATATGTTTTTAATAATTAATATAATAATTATTAATATGGTAGAAGCGAAATAACTAAGAAATTGCACTACAAATTAAATCCAGAAAAAGGTTCTATTTAAAAAAATATTGCATTTTATTGTTCTCATTATTTTTTTATTTAATTATATTTTTCTTTATTTTATTGATTTTACTTTATAAAACAATATACAAAACCAATAATTATCTTTATCTAATTATTTATTATTTTACGATATTTCGGGATCCAGAATTACTAAAACTTTAAATTGATATTTAAAAAAAAACAGAATCAATCTTAACATTCTGTAAACGCTATAATTCATGATTTTGATTGTAGAAACCGAAAATACTTTCAGAACCTTATCATCTTAAGTTTTTTCCAAAAATGTTGCACAATGTAATTATCAGTAGTACTACAACACTTACTGATGTATTTCGTAACTTTAACCCACTTCACTGTATCCCCTAATTTTAGTTTGACAACCAGTCATAGCATCTTTTTTGAGATACTTCGCACTTTGCACACTCGTTAAATAGGTATAAAAAATCCTAATAACAATAATAACAGATTATGTATTGTCTGTAGATCATACACACTGTTATAAAAATTAGATTGGTTAACATGAGTTTGTAGTTTGTTAATTTTATTTTGTAAAATTTTAACATAATTTTCAGTGGAAAACGAGGGTTTGTAATTATTTTAACGAAGGAAAATATTTTACATAAACTTTTGTAAAGGAAATATGCAATTTTGTAAGCATTTTGTTAATTTTAAAGGTTACAGATTATTTTGTTAAAGTTTAACAAATTCTTTTGTTAAAAAAGTACACGTGATTTCAGGCAGTCAATCAAAACATTTCCTACAGCCTCTACATCTTATGTTTATTCTAATTCGTAACGTGTTCGTAACAACTGTCCAGAGTGTTTATAATACATTACCAGAAATCTGTTTCTTTTAACGTGTGTGCGAAGTGTCTAAAAAAGTTGGCATCACTGGTTTTCAAACTGAAATTAGGGGATATAGTGAAGTGGGTTAAAGTAACGAAATACGTCAGTAAGTGTTGTAGTTGGACTAATAATTATATTGGGCCAAATGTTTGATGATTTCAAATTCAGATTTCAGTGGGTTATTTAATTGTTTGTATGTTATTTTTGTGTTCATTTATGTAGGTTTGTTTTTATTTTTTTGTTTAGAAAATTGATTAATAAAGCAAAATTATTTTCATTTAAGTTTCCAATTTTCAACAAACACTTTTATTATTGGGTCTACAAAAAGGTTTGTAAAAATAAGGTTCATTTTTAAAATTACAAGAATTATGGTTGAATTATTTACAGGATTTCTACAAAATGTTTGTTATAATTACAAACTACTTATTCAATTAGTTAATAGATTACAGTTGTTTGTAAACATAAATTTATGTGGACCTGGATTAACAAAAAATCTGGTTTATATTTTTTTAATGTTTAATAAGAGGTTAAGGAAAATAAAAATCGTTTAAGTACGTATAAATAATAATTTATTATATTCTGAAAAATGTTCGCCGAAATCGTCAGCTGCGTACAATAACTTAAAGTATATAATAATTATAATTGCCTAAAGTAAATTATATGGTATTGTTAAATTATGTGCGGGGCGCCCTAAGCTAGTGAACAACTTTGCGGGTTAATATTAAAAAATAGTCAAGTCTGTTTGGCAAAGCGATTCACCGGCACTCAGGAAACCAGGACAAGCAGTTTTAAATAAGCATACGTTCGATGTACATTCGAATTATTTAGTGATTGTGTTCATTCATCCATTCATTCTCGCTAGATCGTCCTGGAGTCCTTGTAGCGCCCTGGCCCCCCATTTCTTAACTAGTTACGTTAAATGATTGCAGTTTATTTACTATTATAAAAAAGGCTAACCTGAACCAAAAGCTGGACTTGCAACATGTTGGATTAAAAAATAATCGTAAGAATAATTATAATAAAAAAAGTCAGAGGCACAATTGAGTATTCTATAACGTTACAAAAGCCTATTATTATTATCTAAACGAGTATTATCCTATAACGTTCTCGACATACCTAGACGTACGTCCCGTGTGTGTTAATACATTACGGTATTGGAGTTAAATTGTTAAAGATACATATGTTAAATCACCGGTATACATTAAGTGAAGATATATATTTTAACGAGCAATATTGCATCGGTGACCTTGGCCGTTCCGTACCCGGTACAGTTACTCATTGATGGTAATTACGGTACCCCAGATTCACGGAGGAAGACTAATGGCAACCGAGGATTGCGATACAATACAGTACAAAAAAACTACGCATACAGGTATGTGTCACGCGCATTAGCTTAAACATTATTAAGTTGTAAGTTAACTCTATAAGTAAGTAGAAAAACAAATACAATAAGTTACATATCACACGCGAATTCTCTCATTCATAACTATGTTGCAATGTTGCTATACGGCCGGTCCAAGACGGGGATTAAAATCGACGGGAGTGCGAGGAAGAGTAACCGTCGTACAGTTTGCAAAGACTGTCGGTGCGGTTCGAGCTCAAACCGGACGGCATGCTCACGCTCACCGACATGTTGTCTTGGTTCAGCTTCTGGCTCAATTTTCTCCTCTGGTAGACGAAAGTCCAGGCGGCGATGATGGCCAGCTGGGCGCTCAAGAAGACGGTCGCGGCGACGATCAAACCGGCAACGTTGATGCAAAGACCCGGATCCGAGCTGGGGATGAAGACGGCTTCGTTGCCGACGGTCTTGTTGCCGTCGCGGTCGAATCCGAACTTGTCCGTGATTTGGATGGTTTGCACCAGAAGCATGTCGTCGTGGGAGTCCGCGGTGGAACGACGCCTCCTGCGTTTACCGTAGGAGATGACGGAGCGGAGCTCTCCCGACGATTCTTCTTGGTCGCATTGGATCGGTTCGCAGGTGGGCATGCATGGAGTCACTAGAGCGCGGAATTGCACCACTTCTGATGAGGGGAACTTGAATGCGTCGAAGTGAGACAAGAGAATCTGAAAGAAGAAGAAAAATGTTAATTAATACCCTGTTTAAATAACACTGGCCGACAGCCATTTTGGTTGAAATTTTAACACTATAAAGTAGATAAATAGAGCTACAAATAGGGTAAATTTTAAGAGAGATTTTTAAAGAGAATGACATTATCAATGTACATGGTATTTTTTTTTAGTTTAATAAAGACCCATAGCATTATTACCAACTATCCTTGCTAAATTAGAAGTTTAAAAAAATATATATAAGAATTTGAATGTGCGTATATCGAAAAAAATAGTTTTTATTCTACATCGCAAAAAACAAGAGCAGATTGAGCAAAATTATGTTCATTTTTGGATTCAGCGTACCCAAATTACCCTTGAAAAGTTGTTGGTTGCCATGCACCAAACAGAAATTTTATTTTTGTCGGCCTGTGTTATCTGTGGTGTAAAGAGTAATCTTAAAATGGTGTCAAAATCAAACACCATGAAATATGGTTGAAAATGTTATATACAGCAAATACCAAAACGGTGTTTATCTAAAAATATTGGACAAGTGCACAGAAAAAAAGGAATAATTCATTTAAGTATATTAATTTAGTTGACCCATAAGTATATATTTAAATCAACTGTGGGAAGGTTAATATAAACAAAGATTAGTTTGACGGTATTTAACCAGATAGTTATTTTATATTTTTTTAATTGGTTAAATTAACCCAGAAAACTTTAGTGAAACCAACCCGCTGTATGGTTCAGTTTACTAAATATGTTATATGTAAAATAAGAGTTACTTCGACCTAAAGCACTCTGTTAAAGGATTAAAACAATTTGCCGTGCATTCCTGGTTGCATAGTGTGTACCGATCGCGGCAAAGGCGGTGTGTATCACGTGATGTTCTTAAATCTAGCCTCTGTTGACTTACATGAAGAGTATATAAGCTCAGGTAACAGCTTTCAATACTTGAAGTATTTTAAGTTGGTGGAACGCACTAAAAACATTATCTCTAGCGAGTTGAAAGTTCAATTTTCTGTAATCTAGTAATGCGTCAAGGAACTGTTTCCTTTTTTTTCCTTTTTTTTCTGTATAGTATGATTTAATTTGACCAAAAACACATAATATTTAACACTGAAAAGGAGTTCAATTTATACCAGGTAAAATTTATTTTAATACTGTGTGAAAGTTAAATGTACACTATTTTAGTATTTCAATTTACACTGGACCAACGAACCAAATTTAACACCATTTTGGTTTGTATAGATATAGACCATGTATGGTGTTAATTTGGTATTAAAATGGTCATGAAATTTTGAACAGTTTACCAAGTAGTAGTGCCAAATAATCATCCACCTAATAGAGAGTGAGTTTTTAAGGCAAAACATTATTTGCATGACGTAAACGTTCAATAAAACATTGATAAATTCCATTTAAACTAAATCCTGATATTATCATTAACTAAAACTCAAGTACCTTTCCGGTTTCTGCGGATTTGTAAATGGGTCCCATGATGAAGTGGTCCGTGGGACAACCGCTCGAGTCGATAAGGACGATTTCGCTGTTATCGACACCATCGAGAGCGACCAATTCTCTGACGAAGATTTCGTACGGGCTGTTCTTGTCCAAGATTTCGAATCTGAGGGCCAAGGGGTCGCCCACTTCGGCTGACGGCATAACGTCTCCTCCACTGCGGTCTGTGATTTTCATCGCTACGTTCGGCGAATCGACGGTAACTTCTTCTGACAGTGCTGAAAGAAGATAATTATGTGTAAGATTCGACCTCTGTAACGTATTCTAAGGATACATTTTAAATTAAAGTTTTGCTCTATTATCGTCATCGAATACCTTCCCAAACTCCAATTTATATGCTACAAATTAATTTAAGCTTCAACAAAGGAAAATAGCTTATATTGTTTGATCCTAATAAAGGGATCGAGTGGGCGAACAAGGTTCGGCTGCCTCGGCTGCCTGTTTTACAAGTTAAGTTTCGTTAAATTGTTAATTGGATTTCAAATAAAGTATCTCTAATGGTTTTAATTTTTTTAAATACCGCATTAAATTAACAACAAAATACAATATGTATAAGTTTTATATGCAAGCCATTACTTGCGCGTTATTTTAGGGCGCGCATAACTTTTGTTTATGTATGTTGTAAATGTTATGACTTTGGGAAGTCATATAATATATTTGATGATAAATATAAAATTTAATACCCTGTATGAATAATTTAACACATTATATAGCTTAGTACCACACCGTTTTATTTGTCGATTTTTATGAATCTTAGTGTATTGTATATGGTGTTAGAACCTTGAGGAATCCTTTACGAAGTATTATTTAAAATCTTTCTGGAAACATTAGTAAGGTTATATATACCTGGTGTAATATCTCCATGAACACCCAAATCAACTTCATTGGTGACACTCTTATTGGTCAAATCGTATTGGCACGTGACAGCCAACCCTAAATCCGAGCTGGTTACAATTTTATCATGGTGCTGGATGACCACATCGTTCACGTAGCGTCCCAAACCATTCTTTCTGACGTTGCACTCCAAATTGTCGTAGGCCATGCTAAGTTCGAATTCCAGGCTGTTGTTGACGTCGCGCACGCACGAGTTGGGGCTTCCTTTGGCGTAGATTTTACCGTCGAAAACTTTGCTGGTTTGGATGCGGGCCACCATGTCTCCCGATCTGCAGTCGATGCTTACGTTGTAACAGGATGAGAGTTCGTAGGTCGCAGCTTCTTTTACGTCTAGGTAGGGGTCCTAAGGAAAATTAAGTGTGTTGTGTTAATTGGGAACTCTTCATTCTAAGTGTCTTCGTTAAATTTTGAATGAAGCAAGCTTTTCTGAGATATAGGTACTGATCGTGTTTTTACAACATAAGGTAAGAATTTTATACGCACTTGGATGTCAGCTAAGGTGGCTCTGGAGTGATGGCTCAAACGGCACACCATCTCACCGGTGTCGCCGTAATCGTACGAGTGGCAACGGTATGGCGAATTCAAGCAAAGTTCTCTGCATTCATCTACGGATCCGACGTCTTGGTACACGGAATCGACTGTCTTGAGGATCATTCCATTGAGTTTCTTGAATTCACAGAGTTTTGTAGGCTCTTCTACGCAGTTGTTTTCCATGTATTCGATACCGTCAGCAGCCTAAGATAAAGAAACATTTTTTGGTTAGGTGTGACTCGAGGTAGTGTTTTGGGGCCTGTTTTGTTTTTGATTATATCATGATACCATTGTTACGATGGTGCGAATTTTATTTGCCATAATGGTTTTATTATTTTTCAAAATATTCTTTATGAAAACATTTTGAACAACTTTTGTTAAGTTTGCCCTTTTTATATACATAGTTGACTGCTGATTTCAGTGGGGTTCATAAGACTAGATGTATTATCAGATTTCTCGTAGGTTGCCCATGATTGAAATATAATTAGAAACCCTTAACCATATTATTAGAAGGTTTGTGAGGGGAAAAATATCGTGCAGATATCTTTGTTTCGTGTGTACTTACTTGGAATGCGTTGCTTCCGGCCAAAGTGATACGGTCCATGTTTGACAGCTCGCATGCGCCGGTGGCGTTGTTGTAGTTGGCAGATCTGCAACGAAACGCAATATTAAATAAAAAATCGCTGTACACAGTGCACGAAAAATAAACAATGACTGCGGATTTTCTGAGTGAAGTGAAGAGAGCTAGCATAGTCCGTAGGTAGCGTAACAGGTCGTCGTTTTAATGGTCTCTTAAATACTCCCTTAGGGTGGTGCTGTTCTGTTCTATTATGAAATGAAATCGCGTACGAGCGCCAAGGCGAAATCAAATATGACTTGCGGAATATTTATGTGGGACTCGAATTAATTTTCCCGCTAGTGTGTGTATGGAAATTTAGATGCTGCACCGAGATAAGCCGGCTTTGCAATCTAAGATAATCTAAGATGATGCACCGTGACATGTTTGGATACAGAACAATTTAAATACAAATAAGAAGGATAAAAGTAATTATCCATTGAAGATGGCTTTTTACTTTATAACTTTGCGATACAGGAAAGTAAAGCGCATATAAGGACAACAATGTTTCCCCTGCTTTTATTATGGTTACATTTTATTAAATTCATAAGAAGTACTTTTTTGAAGTACTGTTACTTGAGAAACTTGAGAAAATATTAGTCAAAAATGACTTATTGTCATATCGAAAAAACAGCCACTATAATTCTTGTCAATAGCAATTTGTATCCCATGGTTAACCATGTTATAAATGAAAAAGCAGCCACTAATAACTGTAGTAACTATTCATTTTTGTTTTTTTGAGAACAAGTAAAGTATTTGTTTTTAGTAAATTTTAATAGCACCATTAGGGTTTTTAGTGGGAAAATAATTTGCTCAATCAGTTATACTGTATATAACTAAATACACTTTTAAAAATGGTTTAGATACTTAAAATGTGACTTCGTTACTTTTAACAGTAAATCATTAATTTCATAGACAACTTTACAAGTTTGTTTTGTGTGTTTTTGCTTAAAAAGGAATTAAAAGGCCGTTTTAATATTAAAATACAATGGTGGTTTGTTCTGGATTTGGTTATAAAAGTTATATAAGTTATTGTGACAAAAAAAACTGAAATAGCCTTTGTCAGGTAAAAATCCATATTTATAATTAAATTATGCATGAAACTGTTCACAGCTTGGTTTACACTTTTTCAACGATCTGATTATGCGTCCACTCTCTTTCATTGTCTAAGATTAATTTAGTCAAATGTGTAAAATCATTATTTGTGTTTGTGTTTTTTTATAAAAACGTTTAAAAAAAGCATTTTAGTTAAATACGAAACTAAAAATTTTACACAATACCTATACTAATTTACTGTTAGAAGTGACTAGGTTACATTTGTGACATTTACATTTACGCACACGGTGGAGTAGTGGTCAGTGCTTCTGACTACAAACCGAGAAGTCGTGGGTTCTAGTCCCACATTGGTATGGATGTTTATTAAAACCTTATTTAAACTTTTGATATACAATAACAGAACTGATTTATTAATTTAATTTTAAACGCCACGAAGTACACCCTAGAAAATCCAAAACGCAAATGATGTGTGTCGTCGCCGCTGCAAAATATCCCCACTCTTTTAAGGCGTTTGCTAATTCAGCACTGTATACTTGTGAATGCTAGATTTAAATTTGTTTAAAAGGTCTACAAAAATATGACTAGACTCTAGTCACTAGAGTGACTAGACTCTAGTCACTAGAGTTACAGCAGTTCATTGTTAATTATTGCATGCGGTTGTAACTACATAAAATACAGTTGATGGTGTCAAAAATTTAATTGGGTGCGATTGCGAATTAGTGCTGTTAATCATTGAAGCATAAAATTTAAAGGCTTCGGAATAAACTATGAAATTTAGTGTTTAAAACCAAAAGCACTATGTATATAATTAATAGAAAAGTAGTAAAATAAACCATTATTTAGCGATTCAGACAGCAACAAGTGCATTAATGAGCAATAAAATACGTAATATAAAGGCACATTTCCTTGCTGCTTGCCATTAAAATTGCCATTAAAATTGGAAGAAAAATCGATAATAAGGAAATTGATAATTGCCAGCCACACATTAACTATAATAACATAAAAGCAATAATATTGCTTCAACACCTATTATCCCTAGCGCGATGAAAGCACCATATGTGAATTTCATTGGAATTGAAATTAACGAGCAACATTTAATACGCTACGTAGGCAAAGGATTTTCGATGCCTTATAGAAAGTAAAAGCCTTCAGGAATATCAATTACTTATAGAGAACGATCGCTTTTAATACTTGCACTTTCAGTCTCCAGTATCTCGAAAGTTAAGTGCACTACAATATTCCATTGTATCGCTCGAAAATAAAACGCTTCGTGGTTTCCATTGAACTACCGGGCTCCATTTGTTATGCCCCGCCAGGCCGACTCGAACGAAACGCCATTACGCCATTTCGCAAACGTCACACAATGCAAAAATATCTTAATTGTGCACAAAATGCCTCCGAGTGATAATCGATTCGCAAAAAACCGCCCCCTCGATAATCAATCGTTGCAATCAAAGAATAGCACTTTCAAGACGGGAAAAAATCGAGAGTTATGGTCTATTTAACTTTAAAATAATGGCGCGGCATTATGCCAGGCCGGTACATCTATGTCTTCGGATGCATGTTAAACACGACCCCGCCAGATTAGATGGATTACTTAGCGTCTTGCGCGGACGTTGAGCAATTGCCCATATATGTCTCGACTGGTAAAAATCATTTTATCACTCGGGTTTTACCGTCTACATGATCCACTTTTCTTCGATTTTTCCAATAAATGAATTACTCAATCAGCCAATGAGTTTTTATCATTGTACAGGAGATCTCATATGTAACTTTTTTGTTTGAAAGGCATAAAACAAAACCATTCTAACATCAGTATTCACATGTGCGTATGATTAATCTTACACATCAAGGGTGTCAAGGTATCAATACTCCACACTTAAACTGTGCCGAACTTATCAATTGATGTACATGGTACTAGTATGCTCTCAAGTCTTTGATCTTTTTGAACTGTGTACATTTTTATGAGATGGCATGGTATCGTATGTGGCATGAGGGCAGCAAGAGGCAGCGTTTAACGTTCGCACTTGTTAATCACTGTTTTAACGACATGAAAAACTGCAGGTCCGCAGAAGTGTTACGACGTGGCATCGGCTATAAATACACACTCGATCTACGTCTCATTGTCTTTCCCATTTGCGGGCCTCCAAAGGAAAACCTGTTAGATGCTTCCATGTTGGGTACGAGGATAAAGCAAGTGCGCACTACATAATGCGTTTAACCACTCAAATATACTTTTTTTCAACCATTATCGCTCGCATAATTTCTCTGCACTCAAAGGCAACGTGATCTGAATAGAACAACGAGAGGTCGTTCGCCACAAGCGAAAGTACCAACTTTCAGTTTTAAGAGCATTATTGAAATATGTTAAGTGAATGATCAACTAAGGTCAGTATTAAAATAAATTAATTATGGGGAAATAATTTATTTGGTTGAGAGTTAAGAGCATTAGAAAAAAATTCTGATGCCACATTGATGCCGGCTAGATCCCCAGATACCAGTGAACTTAATTCATACCTAAAACTAATCCTGAACTCAAATATTTATACAAAGGATTCATTCGATAAACGAGTTAAACGATTTGTTTGGACGAATATGCTTCATTTAACAAGAAATGTTGTCATCTTTGGAATATGATGTATGAGAAGTAAGACATTTCCAAATATACCATTTCTGTACAAGATGCAAAATGGATATGATTAAATGAATAGATAGGTGTGTGATGCTTCATAAAATTTATTATTCTTTGAAACGTGATGTATGGAAGCTATGTGCCACATTTCGAAATATATACTTTGTTTATCATCAACAGGTTTAGTGGAGGGATGCTTCATATTGTAACCATCATCTTTGAAATGTGATGTTTGAAACTATCTGTCACATTTCCAAATATACACTTTGTTTGAACATTTCTGGACCCTGTACATGCAAGATGTTTAAGTGGAAATATCAAGAGATTTCGGTATTCAATTCCTTTGTGAAATTGAAATAAAGATTTAGCCAGAAGAAATGCGATTGCATAATATAATGGAGCTTTTTCTTCGGTAGGAGAGCTTTGTTTGTGGTTTGTGGATGAAAGGTCAAATATTTATACAGAGGATTCATTCGATAAATAAGTTAAAGGATTTGTTTGGACGAATATGCTTCAATTAAAAAGAAATTTTGTCATCTTTGGATGTATGAGAAGTATGTGTTATTTCCAAATATAACATTCCTGAACCCTATACAAGATGCAAAATGGATATGATTAAGTGAATGGATAGGTGAGTGATGCTTTATATTAAAAGCATATTCTTTGAAACGTGATGTGAGGAAGCTATGTGTCACATTTCGAAATATATACTTTGTTTCATCATTCAAAACCCTGTAGAAGATGCAAGATGAATATGTTTAGGTGGATGTATCAACAGGTTTCGAGGAGTGATGCTTCATATTGGAACCACCATCATTGAAATGTGATGTTTGAAACTATTTGTCACATTTCCAAATATACATTTTGTTTGATCATTTCTGGACCCTGTACATGCAAGATGGTTATGTTTAAGTGGAAATATCAAGAGATTTCAGTATTCAATTCCTTTGTAAAATTGAAATAAAGATTTAGCCAGAAGGAAGGCGATTGCATAATATAATGGAGCTTCTTCTTCGGTAGGAGAGCATGTAAGCTTTGTTTGTGGTTTGTGGAAGAATAGTCAAATATTTATAAAGATGATTCATTCGATAAACGAGTTAAAGGATTTGTTTAGAGGAATATGCTTCATTTAAAAAAAAATTGTCATCTTTGGATGTATGGGAAGTATGTGTCATTTCCAAATATAACATTTCTGAACCCTATACAAGATGCAAAATGGATATGATTAAGTGAATGGATAGGTGAGTGATGCTTTATATTAAAAGAATATTCTTTGATACGTGATGTATGGAAGCTATGTGTCGCATTTCGAAATATATACTTTGTTTCATCATTCAAAACTCTGAAGAAGATGCAAGATGAATATGTTTAAGTGGATGTATCAACAGGTTTCGAGGAGTGATGCTTCATATTGGAACCACCATCATTGAAATGTGATGTTTGAAAC